GTGTGTGTGTGTGTGTGTGTGTGTGTGTGTGTGTGTGTGTGTGTGTGTGTGTGTGTGTGTGTGTGTGTGTGTGTGTGTGTGTGTGTGTGTGTGTGTGTGTGTGTGTGTGTGTGTGTGTGTGTGTGTGTGTGTGTGTGTGTGTGTGTGTGTGTGTGTGTGTGTGTGTGTGTGTGCCTGTGCGTTTTTGCCCTAACATTCTTGCTTTGTTCCGTTATATCCCTGCCTTCCTTCCCACACTCTTTCAATACCTTCCTTCTCCTTCCCGCCTCCCCTCCCTACCCCCTCCTCCCTCCCGTCTCCTACCATCCCTTCTCCTCCCCGCCTCTCCTCCCCGCCTTTCCTCCCGCCTCTCCTCCCCGCCTCTCCTCCCGCCTCTCCTCCCACCTCTCCTCCCGCCTCTCCTCCCGCCTCTCCTCCCACCTCTCCTCCCACCTCTCCTCCCTCCTCTACTCCCTCCTCTCCTCCCACCTCTCCTCCCTCCTCTACTTCCTCCTCTCCTCCCTCCTCTCCTCCCACCTCTCCTCCCTCCTCTCCTCCCGCCCCTCCTCCCGCCCCTCCTCCCGCCTATTCCGCCCGTCATCCCGCCTCTCCTCCCCCACTGCACCACCATGCGGGCGTGCAGCATCCAGCCCATCATCTTCGCCTCGGACTTCCTCCACCGCTTGGAGGCCCCCTGGCCACCACAGCTGCGGACAAACAAAAGCTTACCTCGCTCCTCTCTTCCCTCCTCTCCTCCCCACTCCACCCTCTATCCACGCGTCCATGCAGCATCCAGCCCATCATCTTCGCCTCGGACTTCCTGCACCGCTTGGGGGCCCCTCTGGCCACCACTGCTGCGGAAAAACAGAAGCTCTCCTCGCTCCTCCGCCTCCTAGGCATGTCAACCTACCTCCAAATGAAACAGCAGCAGCAGCAGCAGCAGCAGCAGCAGCAACAGGGGGAGAAGGAAGAGGAGAAGGAGGAGGAGAATGGGAGCGCAACGGTGGCGAGGGAGGGTGGGGCAGCAGCGGGTAACGTATCAGTGGTGCAGTTCGGTCTCTTCACTCCTGTCAGTCGGGTGCATCGCGAGAGTGCCAATGCAACGGTGTTGGTGCGTCTGTTGGAGCCTCACCAGTTTGCATACGAGCTCTGCTCCTCGCAGGTCCCATATAACATGGTCAGTGCTTGCTTGCTAGCTTGCGCGTTGAATCTTCTCTCCATGGTTGGTCAGTTTGCATGTGAAATCTGCTCAAGGGTTCTCTTCAGCGGATCAAGGGTTGTCGTTGTGCAGTGCTGAGGGGAATGGGCGACAGGGCATGGTGGGGGTGGGTTGCAGGGGCAGGGGGGCGGGAGCAGGGGGCAAGGGGCAGGGGGCCGGGGACCGGGGGCAGGGGGCAGGGCGCAGAATCGGGGGGAAGGCAGGGGAAGCTGGGAGGCGGGCGATCTCTTGGTCTCACCTCATTCTCGTACTGTGCTTCACTCCTCTTCACCTCCATAGCTCCTGTACCCACACGCTGTAAACCTACCTTCCTCACTCCCTTCTGCCCACTGCCCCACCCCCGATTTGCTCTACCCACTCCCTCCCTCAACCCCCTGTAGGCCCGTGTGGTGCGCAATTACAAGCTAATCTTCTGCCATCCCATGCTGCGCAACGTGTCAAACTCCCCTCTTCGCACTCTCTGTGTCTTCCCGCTCCCTGCCGCCTCTCCCACCTCCCCCACCCCGCCTTGCCCACACCCCAATAAGCCCGTGTGGTGCGCAACTACAAGCTGATCGTGCGGCAGCGCATGCTGCGCAAGGTGGGTAACTCCCTTCTCGCTCTCCCTGCATCTTCCTCCACTCCCTTCCTCCCCCACTCTCGCCTCCTTCTTCTCCTCCCTCGCCTCCCACCCACCCCAACAGGCCCATCTGGTGCGCAACTACAAGCTGATCGCGCGGCAGCGCATGCTGCGCAAGGTGGCGAACAAGGTGTGTGCGTCCATGGGGTGGAACTTTGATGCCGTGCACGTGCGCCGCGGGGACAAGCTCAACCCCACCTTCTGGCCGCACCTTGACCGCGACACACGGCCGCCCGCGTGAGTGGGCGGGAGGTTAAGGCTTGTGTTGCGTGGGCAGGAGAGAGGGGCGAGAGAAGGGCTGTTTGGAGGGGAAGAGGGGGGGCAGGGGGGCTAGGGGAAGGGCTGTTGAGGGGTGAGGGGGCGAGGGGAGGGGTGGTTTGAAGTGGTTCACCCAGTGCTGTTGCTAGGCAACTGGGGGTAGCAGTCACGTGACTTACTAAGCTGAGGTGAACAGTGCTTGCAATTGAATCTCTTCACTGCACACTGATCCTCCTGCCCATGCTATTTCCGCGTGCAATCCATCTCTTTAGATTCCAATTCCACGTCCTTTCCCGTGGTCCCTCCGTTACAAATCAGTGAAAAGTTCTTCACACTATTGCATGCTCTTGTTAACTCTGTGGCAATTGGTTGCTCCCAACGCCTGACGTTTTCCGACCTTTCACGTTGTATAAGCTCCTGTTCACTTGAGTCCTCCAAGCTCGAACTGAAGGGGACCCTTGAGTCCTGGCCGTTTTTCTTGATTCATTACAAAGTTCCTGCAGGTCTTTATTACCCAGCTGCCCACCTTCTGAGAGCCTCGTTCCGCTCCTGCTCCCTATCCTCCTCCCACCAACCAGCTTGTTGAAAAAGCTTCCGAAGTTCATAAAGCCGGGGCGCCACGTGTACATAGCGTCAAACGAGCGCACACCGGGCTTCTTCAGCCCTCTCGCCTCGCTCTACAAGATCCACGTGCTCTCCGACTACCGCCACCTCTGGGCGCCGGGGAGCGACTGGTACAACGACTGCCGCGAGCTCATGCAGCAACTCAAGATGGACGAGACAGAGCCGGTCTTTGACACACACATGCAGGTAAGTGATGGTAGCAATAACAACTGTTTTCGTTTGTTGTTTGTTGTTTGTTTGTGTGTGTGCATGTGCGTGTGTGTTTTTTTTCCCCGCATTAACACTTCACTTCACGTGAATTTTTTTTTTTGTGTGTATGTGCAGTACATTGTTGAAGATATGGTGTTTGGTGATGCCAAAAAGCGAGTGGAAACTTTCAATGACCTTACGGATGACCCAAGGCATGGTGTGGAAATTGTAATTCCTGTATAATGTATATAAAGGGCTGGTTCCATCCCAACACTTTTGGCGGTTACACGTGGTAACCCCTTTCTTCAACCATTACTGGACTGGTCTGGAACGTGCGTGTGACTTTCCTGATCAGATCGTCCGTCAGTCTTGGCAAGGGCGCGTTCGCTCTAGTTTCACACACTTAAACTTGTTGTTTAAAAAGCATCGCGAAATATTTTCTTCACTCCCTCACACTGCTCTCGCAAATTCGCAAGCAATCGTAAATTTCGAATGCGAGGTATGTCACTTTGAGAGTAAACTGGCTCGTTTATTGGTAACAATTGCACCAACAGTATGTTTTTGAATCAGGGTGCTTGAACATGTCAGGCAAATACGCCCTAACTTTGGGGAATTGATCTCTCTCTGATCAACACTACGTACCGACTGCCAAGCCAAATAGTTGTTCTTGTCCCATCCCAGTCAAAGCACCCCAGCGTAACACGTCACGTCACGAACGACTCACGACACCCACGATCTCCATGGCCGAACTGCTTTGCAGGATGAGTGTCGAATCGCGTGTTCTGGAAGTTGTTGACCTCGATGGCGGGAGGCACGCGCCGCCATTTCCACAAACCTCCCCTACCCGACTCGACGATCCCAACAGTGCTCCTCCGTAGGCTCTGCCCCCCACCCCACTCCCCCCTGCTGACGCTCCCCAAGTCCCAGTCTTGTGCACAGTAAATTTGAGTAACATTGGGAATCAGTATTTTACTGTGCGGTGCAAAGCGATTACCGTCCATACCATGTAGATGTTTCCACATCCAACTGAGTGTGTGTGTACCTTCAGTTCTGTTGGTTCAACAATTTCGTTTCCACCCAACCATCCTTGTTGCACAGATTGAGGGGGCGTGATTGTTCCATTTCCTTGGCGTCTTGCGTTACCTCATTGAAGTAAACGCCCTGTCATACAGGGTGGCAGCGGCCATTCTAGGGTTAGTTGGTTCGCATAGTCTCCGATGCACCCGGGTTTGTCTAACTGAAAGTATCTTCTCCTCTCCCTCGGTTGTTCGATCTTTCCTCTCTGGTATTGCTACGCTAGGGTGCCGTATTATCGATGATCAGCGATAGCTAACCCCCTGCGGCTACAACTGCTCGATGGCGGTAAAAGCGCTAGGGTCCCCCGTTAGAACGCCCTCTCGGAATAAGAACTCGTCCAACCCACCTCTACGTCTATCAGACCAGTTTAACGCGACCGCCATAACGGGAATAAATGGCGGCTGGAGAGCAGCTCGAGGAAGCGTACTTTCAGCAGCAACGGGTGGGCTATGGATTTATAACGAGGGAGGAGGCACGTGGCCAGGCCTTAGGACACGCTCTTTCTGTTTCGTCGCAGCGGTTTTGCTCGGGATGTGCCTCGCTGCTCACATGGTCGCACATAGTTCCAAAGGATCGCCGTGGTCGCACGATCGTCGCTTAGTCTTCGACCCCGAGCGACTGACTATCGAAAAAAACATTGCGATAGGACACCGCGACGGGCTGCTAACGGAAGCCGAGGTGGGCCGAAATGAGGACCTGCGAAGGACAAGTGCTTACAATTCAGCGGATGCGCCTGATGCGGTTAGCAAGTCAATTCCTCTAGTTGACGAGCTTTCGTCCGATGATCGCGTGATACCAGTGCGTTTGGCTCAACCCGCAACCGGACAACGACAGGCTCACGACCGGATCGCACACGTGCGACGACCAGTGCCGTCGCAGGCGACAGCTGGTCCAGCGGCTCGAACAGCGGCGGCGACGGCGGAGCGGTATTACATGGTAGTTGGCGCACGCGACACGGACTCATGTGCTGGCGAGTCGCACTGGAGATGGAGTTTCCTATGCGCTGCGGCTGAAGCGAAGTACTTAAAACGCACTATGGTAGTGCCTACAATGTACTGCACGAGCAAATACCATTCCATGAGCGGAGAGCGCGAGGAGCGGCCAATGCAGCTGTACTACAGAACGGACGACTGGCTCAAGCACCAACCGCTTATCTTCGATACAGAATTCAAGGAGCGCTTCGGAGAAATATGGCCGCGGTTTCTTAAGAAGAAGGGCGTGTCGGTGGCAGAATACGGGCCGTGGAACAGCACGAATCGCGTGGCGAAGGAGGCGGCTCGGGCGACGCTGTTGGTTCGGCGGTTGCGGGACGATGAGTACGCGTACCAAATCTGCCAGCAGGAGGAGAATCAGGTGAGTCATGTCTCGAAGGAGGAGGCAGTAACGTGGAGCATAGGAGCCAAGAAAAACAGGCCACAATTATATTGAGACGTCTTAAAGGTCACGAGGGCGAGCTCGAGCCCCCAGGGCGGCTGGTTGACGAAAGCAGTGCAAGAAGCTGCTGGAAAGGAGCAGCGCTTCATCAACCCAAATCCTTTGTCCCTCATAGCTGCTCTTGTGTCCGCAGGTCTCTCGTCTCCACTTGCCAATTCCAGGTTAGCATACAGTGTTGCACTGCTGGTCCACGTCGATAGCCCCATATTGAGAGAACAGAGAAAAAAAAGGGGCAATTTTCTAGCTTGCAGCTCGTCTGCTGCATCGCTTTCGCGTATCGTCATAAAATGCCTTTTCTTCTTTCTACTGGGCCATCTCGTTCTCTCCCCCAGCCATGTGCGGCCCATTTTTCATCCTGTGTCGTGTCTCCTTCCCGCTTCTCCACCCGCATTCCCCTCTTCCCCATTCCTCCTCCCTCTCTCCGCATCCACCTTCCTCTCCCCGCATCCACCTCCCTCTCCCCTCATCCACCTCCCTCTCCCCTCATCCACCTCCCTCTCCCCTCATCCACCTCCCTCTCCCCTCATGCCGCTGCTCTGCTGCCCGTCTTACGCGCTGTTCCCCCACTCGTAACGGCGACAGAAGCGGCTGGGGCGGAATTACAAGTTGCTGAGGCGATCGCAGTCGCTGGTTCGCGTGGCGAATCAAATTTCAGCGTCCATGGGATGGTACTACGTGGCGGTGCATGTGAGGCGAGGCGACAAGGTGGCTGATGAGAACCGAGAGTTCTGGCCAAATCTGGACCGAGACACTCGACCTGACGCGTAAGCATGGCAACATGGCTTCCAGTTATTTCTCTCTCTCTCCCCCCTTCCCCTTCTCTCTCTCTCTCTCTCTCTCTCTCTCTCTCTCTCTCAATCTCTCTCTCTCTCTCTCTCTCTCACACACACACACACACACCCACACACACGCACACACACACACACACACACACACACACACACACACACACACACAATCAGCATATCACTACCACCAGCACCCTCGTGGAGTCTTCAGCTCATCCACTTTCTCACCCACATGACCCATCCATTAACACCTTCTGCTTCCTCCAGCCTTCTCAAGACCCTCCCCAAGCTCATAGCGCCGGGGCGCCACGTGTACATTGCGTCGAACGAGCGCACGCCGGGCTTCTTTTCCCCGCTCGCCTCGCTCTACAAGATCCACGTGCTCTCCGACTACCGCCACCTCTGGGCGCCCGGCAGTGACTGGTACAACGACTGTCATAAGGTCATGCAGCAACTCAAGATGAATGAGACGGAGCCGGTCTTTGATGCACACATGCAGGTGAGATCCTCTTCAATCCAAGGCCTTGCTGTCTTGTTTATGATCATCCTTGTGCTTGGCACAAACTTCTATTGGTGGAATTGCACTCTTGTAAGATATTTTTTTGTGTGTGTGCTTGGATGCTTTGTTGGGTGTATATTTATGAGATGGTCATTCTGTGCTGTTGTGCGTTTGTGGATGTGCATCTCTGTCCCAAATCAGTGGATGGTGGATGAGATTGTGATGAAGAATGCTCGGAAACTCGTAGAGACGTTCAATGACCTTACCTCGGATCCCAGGAATGGCCCGAAGCTTAGTAATTCGTCTTCTGAGTCCATCACCCCAGCTGCAGTCACCACCACTACATACTCTTCAAACAAAAGATTTGACATTGAAAGCAGTGAAATTTCATAATAGGGTATAAGGCTGGTGATTAGTATTTGTCTGCAGTGTGCAGAAATCACTGCTAAATCATACACTAGATTTGTACACTTATTATTATAATTCGTTCAGTCTCTTACATGAGGTTTCTTGGGGTTGGCTGCAGTAAGCTGGGTAAAATAGGTTGTGAACCCTTTCAACTGGCATATGCTGTACAACGCCACAGCTGCCAGAAAGGGCGCTTTCCTTGGCATGCCCTGAACCCGAAACCAGCACAAATCAGCATGCATTTGATTGTATTGGAGCTTTTGTTGTCAGAAACTTGGAATGCTTTGGGAATGGGACGGGGTCCTCATGGGTGCAGCTGGTCGGTTCAAGGAACACCCAACTGGTGTCCCGATCCGGCGCATTCCGTGACCCAACGAATCGCTATGTCCCCACCGTCCTCGGAATCTGGAAAGGTCCAGACCGCGAATGCTTTTCCTTCGCGCTCCCGCATGACACATCACAACAACCCCAGCACCACTGCTGTGTGCGCACCATTTGTGGGAAAGCCCTCCACTCCACACACACATAAAAGCCTCCACCCCACATCACAGTTTTCTAATTGAATACGCCCACACTTCAGTTTTCCTTGTCAATTGCGGGCAGGAAGAAACTCCCTGCTGTTCCCAAAAGCAGCCAGAATCTTGGGGCTTCCCTTCCCAACCATCCGTTGTTCTCAGCGTCGTTTTCCTCGTAGCCGTTGATTCACAGACCAACCCGCTCCACCACAGAAAAGCCCCAGGTTTTTCCCCGATACCTGCCCGAGACGACGCCAATGTTTTCGTGTCATGCAACCCTCCAGCAGCTCCCAAGGTTGAGCTGCTGTGCAATCCCAGAATTTGCAGGAGCATCTCTGAGGGAAAATCAGGCAAGTAAAATACCTTGTACGCGCTCACCGGCTTATCTCCTTGCTGTCACTGGTTTGAAGGCGGATTCCGGACCGCTTCAAGGCCCATTCGGGACGTTTTCTTTGCGAGCTAAGAAGGCTCCGCGCTTAGGATCATGTCGTCTTTCCGTCGTGAGCGTGTTGTCTGAAGACTCCGCACGACGTTCGTTCAACTCGTCGTTACCGTTTAGAACGCGCAACATCGTGACGCTGTCGCCCGATCAAGACCTGTTGGACGTGACAATGGCGCCTCCTGCTGGAGACGGCTCGGAAGTGACGATGGCGGCAGCAGGCGAACCGCCTCAAGTGTACACGGTCGGCAGCTCTACGAATATCAAGTGGCACGAGACGAAAGTCGGCAAGGAGGAGCGGTACGTCCCGCAGCGTGCGTTTCCGTCAACAGCCTATCTCTTATCGGGTCGTTTCTGTCTCTTACACCGATTCGGATTTCCCCGTGCTGACATACTGCCCAAACGCGTGCAGGGAACGGTTGCTAGGGCAGCGCGGGTGCGTGATTTGGATGACAGGGCTGAGCGGCGCGGGCAAGAGCACGTTGGCGTACACTCTCGAGCACGCGCTCATGGAGCGGCGCCGCATGGCCGTGGTGCTGGACGGAGATAACATACGGCACGGCCTGAATAAGAACCTCGGATTCAGGTGCTGTTCCGCGCATACCTCGCATCGCTTATCCATGCCGAGTTGGCGCCGGATAGACAAATCTTGCGGCCGCATTTGGGATGTGTCTCTTATTGTGGCTGGATTCGTTCTGATTTTCGCTGGTGGGTCGAAATTCAGTGTTTTGATACATTCCTATTGCCATGTGCAGTGCTGCGGATAGAGAGGAGAACATCCGCCGAGTAGCCGAGGTGGCAAAGCTATTTGCTGACTCGGGTGTGGTTACAATCGTCAGCTTCATCTCGCCCTACAGGTAGAGACCACGTGCTTGCTCCCGGATTATCTAGGTGAAGTATACCGTTCTCATGCGCTCCCAATGCATTCTCTATCCAGTCGAGTACTTTCAGCGCGCGTAAATCCGCTCAAACTCCTCGCCGCAGACATCCCGTCTGATCCTAACAACCCTTTCCATCTTTTCCTTCCTTCCCTTACCCCTTTTTCCCTCCCTTCCCTTCCCCCTGTTCCCCCCCTTCCCCCCCCTATTCTCCTCCCGCACTCCCTTCCCCCTACTCTCTCCCTCCCTCCTTCCCCTCTGTTCCCTGGCAGCAAGGATCGGGCGGCTGCACGGGCGTTGCTGGACCCAGGGACGTTCATCGAGGTGTTCATGAAGATACCCCTGGCTGTGTGCGAGCACCGGGATCCCAAGGGACTCTACAAGAAGGCCCGAGCTGGCATCATCAAGGGCTTCACGGGTGAGCTTATAGCGAGTACAACTGGTGCGAGATGGGGAAGGACTGTTTGGGTTGTGCTGCAGGGGAGGGTAGCAGTGAGTACCACTTGGGCTGTTTCTGCTATGTGTCTGAATCTCACTCTCTGAGGACTCTTCTTCCCAAGTTCTTCTCCCTGGCCTCTTCCTTCCCTGCCTTGGCATACCTTACACTACCACTTGCTTGACGTTTCAGTACGTCTTCTGGGCGTTGTTACTCAGTATCCCTATTTATCCGCCTATGTGCTGTGCAGGCATAGATGACCCCTATGAGGAGCCCACAGCAGCAGAGGTGGTGATGGAGGTGGCAGAGGAGGGGGGTGTTATGCAGTCACCAGAAGCCATGGCTGCTACGCTGATAGAGTACCTGGAGCACCATGGGTTTTTGCCCTCGTGTACTGGAGCACTTGGTGCTGATGCTGCGCAACCTGCTGCTACCAATGGGGCAGCCTGTAATGGAGCACCTAATAGTGATGTGTAAGGGCGAGGAGTAGCCAATTTAAGAGATGAATGTGCTGGAGTTATTTAGACATGTGCTGTATATGAATGTTCATAATTGCAAGGTATGTATACATTCTTTGTTTCTATGCAGGCGGGTCTTGTAATACTGGACCTATCCCAACTTATAAGTTATCTCAGCTGCTCTGTCATAAAGAATGGACACAGCTTCTTGTAGCAACCATTGTAGCAGATGAGTTGTTGATTTCTCAAGTGCGCATGCTGTTCTTTTTAGGTTCGAAAAATTGCAGAACCTTTCTCTATATTACACAGCAGTAGCAGCGGCCCCAGGTTTCACCTTAATAAGCTGCACTTCAAATATCAGTGGCTCTTTCACATGAGCTGCCAATGCACGCTGCCGGAAATACTGCAAGCGAAGGGGGCAGTCAGCATGGGATGAAGGGGAGGGAGTTTGCAAGTTTGGTGTGAGAAGAAGGGAGGAGGCACGGATTCTGTGATAGGTTTTGAAAGGTACAAAAAAGGTGCGAGAAAGCAATATGGAGACTCTGGTACGATGGCATTCAGTCGCACGAGCACAGAGAGAGGCGCGTGCACGTGCACACGCACGCAATCCCCCCCCCCCCCCCGCCTCCCCCCCCCCCCCGACACACACGTGCGTGTGCGCGCCCACGCACACATATACTCACACACACATGAACGGAAGCACACACACACACACACATGCACACACACACACACACAGACACAGAGATGAGCGCGCACACACACGCACACACACACTCACATCCTTGGGTTGCGGCTGCATGTCTGGTCTAATGTATCCCAGTGCAGGGGGGACGAGCACCCTGCGCTTGCCTGAGAGGAATGGAAGGGTGTGAAGAGGGTGAGAAAGTTAGGTCACGGAGACAGAGATGACATAAGGGATGGGGGAGACAGAGGGAAAAGACGAAACAGGGGGTTTGAAACGTGGCGGTGATTTACCGCATGCAAAAACTCCTTGCCATCCGTGCGAGTATGTGAAGTGTGGTATAACGAGGACAGCCAGGAGCATGGGTTCACATGGATTTATGCAGTGATGCAGTGGGATGGATAGCGCACCGGCAAGAGCATGGCGCTCTCGCATGTGTGCACTGCAATGCTTCGACACGAGCGTATGGCACGAGTTCAAGGAAGTGTATTTGTTTGCAGTGCATGGAAGGGCACGGATGGGGCTTACCGCCTGCTCTCATTCCTTGCACCGCCTCTTCTAGACCTTGAATCACCTGATGCAAAGGGGGAGAGAGCGGAGTGAGGAGAGAGGAAGGGGGAAGAGAGGAAGAGTGAGAGAGTGTGGGAGAGAGGCTTCGCGAGGAATGAGACAGAGTTGGGGAGGTGAGAGGAGGGTGTGCTTGAATGTCTGATCCAAAAGACACCATCCGTCAAAATTCACTTGCGATCTAAATGCGTTACCAAATGGTCATGGTCCTCACCTGCCCTTGGCCTAGCAGCAGGTCTATGGGGTCTGCATCCCCTCCCACTGGGTCAATGGTGCTGGAGGAACGAGGAGGAGCAGGAGGGCCGGAAGGGAGGGGAGTGGGTGAGGTGAGCATGCATGTATGTGCAGAGTGGGAGTGGATAGCAGCAGCAGGAACAAGGGTGGCAGCATATCACAGCACAGTCGAGCTCAAGTCACTGCAAACCGGCAGGTTAAGACACCGTAGCACACCCAGCCAGCCACCCATCTGCCACCCAGCTCACCTGGCAACAAAATAGCCATTGGATCTGCGGCAGACATAGTGCACAGTCACCGCATCTCCTGCTGCTGCCACCTCGCCCTGCCCCTCGTATACCTCTGGGTGAGTGGGGGAGGAGTGGGAGGAGGGGTGTGAGTAAGGTCGGGCTTTAGCACATGTGTGTGCGGGTGTGTGAGGGTGGGAGTGTGTACGTGTGGAATGTGAGGGCAGGTGGGGGATGTGAGGGCAGGCGGGGGATGTGAGGGCAGGCGGGGGATGTGAGGGCAGGCGGGGGATGTGAGGGCAGGCGGGGGATGTGAGGGCAGGCGGGGGATGTGAGGGCAGGCGGGGGATGTGAGGGCAGGCGGGGGATGTGAGGGCAGGCGGGGGATGTGAGGGCAGGCGGGGGATGTGAAGGATGTAAGAGAGCATACCTTCGACTGTGGCACCGGAGGGTGTCTTGAAGTACCTGAGAGGAGGGCACAGAGGGGCAACGGGATGGGATGCGATGCGATGGGATGGAATGAGATGGGATGGGATGGGATGGGATGGGATAGGGATGGGGATGCAGATGCGGATGGGATGGGATGGGATGGGATGGGATGGGATGGGATGGGATGGGGATGGGGATGGGGATGGGGATGCGGATGGGATGGGGATGGGATGGCAGCGGAATGGGAGGGATGGAAGGTAGTGGATGGTGGAGCCAAAATGCAGCAAGAGGTTTCTGGGGGGACAAGGAAAGGCAAGGAAGGGCAAAGAAAGGCAAGGAGCACAAGAGGACGGCAGCAAGCGAGCATGCTCGTGCTGCAAGGACTCAAGCATGACTTGTGGTTAATGCACGTGCCATGGACGCATGGCTCCGCCCTCGGGCTATCCGAATGTTGTCATCCTTGTGCCCTTCCCATCCGCACAGCGGCCTCTCTTACTCCCCCACACCCACACCCCCTCTCGCTCCTCACGCCCTCGCTCCCGAACTCCCTCTCGTCCCTGCGCTCTCCCCCCCTCACACTCCCTCACACTCCCTCACATCCAGCCTGACCTCTGGGGTGCCACGTCAGCTGCGCGCGCCACGTCGCCTGCTGGGCCCAACAGACGAGCGCGGGGAAGGCGGAGGAGGGAGTCAAGGTGGAGGGGGATGAGGGAGGGGAATGGGGGTTAAATGAAGGGGGGAGAAGTAGGGGGATGAACAAGAAGGGGCGAAACAAGATACGGAGGTTCAAGTCAGGGAGAATGTAAGTACAGAGAAGAACGGCCACAGTAACCGTCGTGTGATTCTGTCTACGAAGTCTTTCTCCTCGTGCGAGCAACTTATTCAGCATACCTCTGGGAAAACACGGCCCACCCACGCGTTTTTTTTATGTCTCATCTAAACGCCACTTATTCAGGCTAGCCCCCGGACTCCGCACACCCCGGAAACCACGCACCCGCGAACCACGGTCCAACGGCTGTTACCACACCGCCTCCTATCAGCAAAGCGCGCCGGCTCAACCCAACTGCCTCCCCCGTTCCTGCGCCCGCCACTGTGCCCGCCGCTGTAGCGGACCGTTCTCGCTCTTCCGCCGCTCCCTTTGCGCTCGCCTCTCCGCGAAACGCCGCGCGCGGGGGTAGCGCGAGCATCCCGCTGGGGGGGAACAAAAAAAAATGGGAGAAAGGAACGCTGTGAGATTCCGTCTCGAAGCAGGGAGATGGAGAGTGGTCGAGTAAGGTTATGCGACCGAGTTGGCGATTCTTTAAGTATTTCAAGAGCTACCAGACTGACCGGCTCCCTCAACCTTATGGGATGTGGTCACGCTAGCAGCACATCCGCAATGTGCTCAGCGAGCGATGCAAACATTTCGTGCAGGTTACGTGGATTTTTTCCATTCACGCGAAAAGCGCACCTGGCGCTGCGAGATGCAGGAAACGTGCTCGTTAGAGGCGCCGCGGTTCCAGGGACACTGCGAAGCCCGTCGACGGCAACCCTTTGAGAAAGTGGGAGCGAAGCAGTGAACGCCATGCTTGGGTGTTTTAGCAGTACGACTTCGGAATGGCACTGTTTTGCCAAGGTGAAGGATGTGTGAGTTCACGTTGTAATGAGGATCATAGCAGCAAAAGCGGAAATTTGGACAGAAATGAGATGTGGGGGAGGTGGGGGACACACGACTCACGAGCAATGACTGAAGAGAGAGTTTTGCTCAAATCTGCGAAGTCGCGGTTCGTTTTATTATCGCCACGTGGCATGCCTTCGATCGCGTGAACCGCGATCTGTTTTATTGTTATCACAAACTTCAAGAGAATTTTAGTTAAGTTTTGTACTGCGCTGCCTGCGGGCAAAAATAAAGCCCATTCGGGCCTGGCATGCGTTAGGGAGGCATCAACCCTAAACACCTTGCCTCTAGGTGTTTAGGGTTGATGCATCCCTAACGCATGCCTTACCTATAAGGGTTTTATTTTTGCCCGCGGGCAGTGGATTACAGAACTTAGCTAAATTTCTCTTGAAGTTTGTGATAACAATAAAACAGATCGCGGTTCACGCGATCATAGGCTCGTCACGTGGCAAAAATAAATCAAACCGCGTTTCCGCGGAATTGAGCAAAATTATTGACTGAAGAGGACGACCCATTTCTTCCACGAGGCGCGACTCGGTGGTCGTGGATGGTGTGAAGCGACGTGGCGCTGCTTGGTCCATAGGGAGGGATGGGTCGACACCATAACGCTGTGAGCGTGGTCGTGGGTGTAGCATGCTGGGTAGATAAAGTCTACTTGCTCTATTTTGTATTTCCATTCACATTAGAAGGCATTGTGTTGCAACAAATGCCTCCTCATCCCAGCTTGGTTGGGCATGAATTGCAGACAATTTGCATGGATGGTGGTGTCCTCGGCTTTTTTTTTTTATCTCTTGTTTCTTTTCTAGTTATATTCTTTATTTGTTACATTTGGTATAAAGAAGGATAGAAACATAGGGGAAAAATCAAAGCCAGCCAATTATGGGTGAAATTCGGAACCCTAATTAAATTCAGAACCATAACCTTTTGGGGGTCAAGTATCCTGGAAAATACAATATGACATGCGTGAGCTTGTAGACCAGAACCATTATTAAAAGAAAGTATTTGCCGGAGTGGTCTACAGAGAGTACGATATACACCCAAGGAAGATCCGCGGTAAATTACTGCAAGGAGGACGCCCTGGCATCTACAATTTCCGAGTCGCAGGTAGGCTGTCGGTTCTTCAAACGAGGAGGCTCTTGAGGTTTCACACGGCAAGTTGTGCCAACCAGACGGGTCTGTGCTGTGATGGGGTGGCGTGGACAGGACGGGCGCTCACTGCCGTCGATGCATTCGACTTCACGGGCAGATCGGGATTCGGAGGTCCTACAAAGCTGCCTCATCAAAGAAATATGCACTGATGTGGCGGTCAAGGATGGACGTCGTCCGCGTCGTCCGCGGCGCTGATCGGTCAGGCTGTGTGTCGGTCATTCGCGAACGTTCAGGTGGGTCGCCGCACCGCATCTCTGGAGCACCTACCAAAATCAGTTCAGCTTCCCAAATACCCACCCTGCATAGCCAAACGGTGGTACAGTGTACCAACAGTGCCCCTCCCTCCAGTGAGTGATCGGCGGACGCTACACAAAGTCCGTCACAATTGAAATGAACGACACGACGCGTGGTGGCAACTCCAGATAAAAAGCCTTTTCTCCGTCAGCAACTCTACAACCTGACCTGAGCCAGCGAAAAAATAGCTGGTTTGAGGGGGGGAAAGGCACGCGCTCTTCATGCAGCTGAGAGGGCTCGCGCGCACCGCACAGGCGGCTCCACCCATCCCTTACCACACACGCTGCTTCTCTTCCGCCGAAACGCGCGATGATTCCTTCGTTCCCCCCATCCCTCATTCCCCTGTGTAGCCCTAGCCCAGCTGGCTCTGGTGGTTCCACCACCCGAATCACCCCGCAACGCCGCCCCTCCACCTGCACCATCGGAACAAGCATTGCACCACTGGCTAGTTCAACGACCCGCCTCACTACTGTACCACCTCCCCTCCCCTCCCTCCAACCCACGCAGTGGACTGATGGTTCTTGGCACCTACGGCGACTGCTGCTCTCACTACCCTTCCCATTCCCGCCTCTGGCACCGTTGGGCTTGGTGTAAAAAGGAATCGCAGGCCTACGCCTGAGTCGAAATCGCCCCGCTGTCTGATTGTTAATTCCTCCCCTGTTGGCGAAAGCATTGAGCTTCAGTAATTTGAGGAACAGCGAGTCCCAGAAGGCGCAAACAGACTCCTAAGTAACCTAGCCCGCGAAAATCCAGTCTCAGACTCCCTCGAAGTCTTAGCTCTCGCGCATCGATGGAACAGGCAGCCGCGGCCGCGTACCCAGGCGCGCCGCCGTACAGTCCGCAGAGCGAGCATATGCTACCGTTCGTGGCGCTAACCCACGATATCTCCGCCTCCGTCGCCTCCATCCTCCTCTCGCCCTCCTCACGCTCCATCCATCCGCACCTCTTTCAGGCATGGAATTTCACCCCCAGCCCGCGTGCGCCCAGCCCTCCCCCCTCCGCGCATCCTGAGCAGACGCTTGAATACGGATGCTTCTTCCCCACCCCGGCCATTTCCCTCGCTCCGCCTGCTCTCCCCGTCATCCCCGGGACTGCTTTACCTGACCCCCCTTGCGCGACCGACCTTGCGCAATCAAAAAAAAAAAAGGAGCCTCTGCGGGCGGAAGGGAACTGCAGGGAGGTGGATGGTTACGGACGGTTGGGGCAGCAGCAGCAGCCGCAACAGCAACACCAGCAGCAGGAAATCATAACACAGGTGGTGAAACAGCCGCTACAGCGGAGCCTCAGTCCCTCCCGCGAACGGCGGAAGAGCGTGCTGCGCAGCAGCGGAGATGGCGGAAGCTCCTCCGCGCGACCGTTCTCCGGCGCGACAGAGAGCTCGGGTCACAGTAGGGTTCACGCACCGAGTGTGACAGTATCGGGGCTTCGACCTTCGCCCTCACGCGGTGAGCTTCGTACCGCTGACGCAGGCTCGTTATTGGAACAACTCGCGTCGTTCTTTACTCCCCAGACCAAAAGAGGCGTTGCTGTCGCACCCGACGTCCCCTCACGCGATCGCCCTTCTAGCCGCGCGCTGAAATGCGCCGCGAAGCCGCCCCGCCCGCCGTCCAGCCAGTCTCTGCTCCCCGCGCCTGCCACGCGAAGCAGCGGAAACCCCTGGGTGCGCGGACACTTCGGACGGAAGGGCCATGACCGGCAGCAAAGCAAGAGCAGCAGGAGTCGCAGGGGGGTGTGCGGCGGAAGCAAGGGCGGGCGGGCGGGTGATGGGGCGGAAGGGGTGATGCTGCCGATGCTGGTGCTTCTGGTGGGTCTTTTTTTCGTGCTGACGTTCGTGCAGCATATTTTCAGCCCAGAGCAATCGACGCTGATTGCGGCAGACGAAGCGCGCGCGCGAGCGGGCAGCGGGTACGACATCGAGTTGTGGGATACCCGCAGGAATAAGAGCAACCCTGGTAACCACGGTGGATTAGAGACTAAGTCGCATGTAGGCCTTAATGAAAGTCCGAACGGAGGTAATAGCGCGAGTGAAGCTCGGTCTAGTACGGTAGTCGCAGGAGCTGCGGGTGTTGCCACGCGCTCTGGCCAGAACCGCAAACTCGGGCGCGCGCCTGTGGCGGCACCAGAGACGGCAGTTCCGGTGAAGACGGAAGGAGCAGACGTGCAGGGCAGTGGCGCGGAAGTGTCCGGGGCAGTGGGGGAGGAGAGGGGCACAGTGCGGTTGGGGGAGCTGGGGAGCATAGAGGCGGAGGGGGTGGGGGGGAAAAGGGCTGCTGGTTTGGCGGGAATGGTTCAACCCTGGGGACTCTCCGCTTGGCAAACGAGAAGGCGTTGATTACAGCGAGATATACGTGGGAAATGAGATGGCTGGTGATGTTTTGCCATGAGTGTACGGTACATGTACGTATCTTGGCTTTGATACACAGGATTTTCCTCACAGCACATGCAGACCGTGAATGGCATAAGGTTTGTGCAACCTGTTGGTTAGTGTGTACGGGTATGTGAGGACTGAGTAGTGTGAACTCCTAACAGAAGTATTACAGTACAGTAAATGATATTCATTGTTCTTCCTGTCATCCAGTTTGATTAGAATGGGCTTAAATTGTGTATACAGGAGATGCATTGCACCTACACATCACATATAAAATTCCTAAACAATCTAGTAGGGTCTACACTGAAAGTGTTGAAGCTGCTCCCTACAGGCACTTCAAAAAGTGGTACACTGAAGCATCCTAGCCTAGTCACGTGTAATATGCTACCGAAGCACACTCAATGGGTGTGGGTCCCTCCTGACTTGCACACTCTGTAATGTATCCTCTTCCAATCCATCACCTGGCAGTATCTGCTGCAGTACGCCGCCCGCTCACACACCACACACCGCCTGAACTCATGTGCCCGGGTTTCTGGGCGCCCGCACTGCGCATTCTCACACATCTTGCACCCGTCAGGCAACCCGTGAAGAGCATTCCAATCCCTGAAAAAAGACGCCATGCTGTGTCCATTTGAGGCACCACCACCAGCACCAGCAGCACCAACACCGGCCGCAGCATGAGCACCAGTACAACCACTCGTGCCTGCGTCAGCAGCTACCAAATCTTCAAATCCTGCCTGGCCTTGCCCCGACTCTGCCCCGCCTCCACTCTCCCCCGAAGGAGCGAAAAGCTCTGCGATTTTCGACGTGAGGCCGTGCTGCTCTGCTGCCAATGCTGCCGCCGCAGCTGCTGCCGCTTCTAAGTTTAAATCCACTGCCGCTCCCAGCACAGCCGGTGCAGCTGCAGACGCAGAAGCGCGCCAGCCCAGATCACCATCCATGGTGTAGGTATCATCAGAGCCAGCAGCCCATGGAGTATCTCTCACCTGCCATCTGCTGGATGGATCCGAGGCCAGATCGGCACGTGGGCCTGAGGCAGGGCGACTAGGAGTTGAACCCGCAAAACTGCTGTGGCTGGTTGTCGTGTGAGCGGTAGGTGTAGTGGAGGAGGAGGAGCAGGGAGCGAGAGCGTGAGGAGTTGCCGTACACCCGGAAGAGGGAGAGGAGTGGGAGAGCACGGAAATGGCGGTGTGGCACCCAGCAGCACAGCGGACTATGGAGATCACTGGCCCCTGCTGCCCTCTCAGTGGCTGCACCGAAAGCGACATCGACCCTTGTGGCAAAACAGGCTGTAACGAGACAGTAGATGCCCTGTTGGATCGCACATTCAGGAAGCTCGTCGCTTGCGCAGGATCCGCCCGTGCGGAGTGAAGGGAGTGTGCGAGGAGGTGACTCGGTGGTGTTGCTGCTGCGAGGGTAGTAGCAGCACCCGGCCCTGCAGCTCTCACCTGGGATCCACATTCCTCCAGCAGCCACCTGCGTGCCTGTGGCGGCTCTTGCACCACCCCAGTGGTAACTACTGCAGCGGATGGTGCTACTGGCGATTCTGCCGGCTGCTGCTGCTGCTGGTGCTGGTGAGACTGCACGGCCATTTCCTGCCCCCTGTGCGACTGCCAGGATGCTTCTCTCGCCTCTGCCCGAATCCTCTGCAGCTGCAGCCCCACCGCGGCGGATTGCACAGCGGGGGCGGAGTGCGGGGAGTGAGCGAGGGCGGGGCACATGGCGGCGAGCAGCAGTCGTGCGCCCAGCAGCGTGCGCTGCGGCACTCCATGGCCGTCCTGCAGTGGTGACGGCGGGGGGAAGAGGGGAAGGTGAGATAAGTGTGCGTGATTGTGTGTGTGTTTGTGTGTGTGTGTGTGTGTGTGTGAGAGAGAGATAGATAGAAAGTAAGAGAGAGAGGTTAAGGAGGGGGAGGAACGGGGGGCAAGGAGGACCGATCGAGAGTGGGAAGGGCGGGCCAGCAAGAAGGGAGAATCCTGTACCAAATAGCAGTGGCCCAGCTCCTGTAGCGCCTGTTTGCTGCCCGCCCTAGCAGCGTGCCACAGAATATCAGTAGCTGCAGCGGGGTTGCCGTCGCTGCTGCCGCCGCCACTGCCGTGAGAATGGATGATCGCCAGCGAACAGATGGCCGCCACGTGTCCCTTCTCCGCCGCCCACACCAGCAGGCTTGCACCCGCCCAGAAGTCCCTGTGGCAGTAGAACTTGATCTGATTGGTGGATGGTGAAAGGGGTGAAGGGGATAAAATGGGAGGGCCAGGGGGGACGAATGGAGACAGGAGAGTGAGCAAAGGTGGCTTGAGATCAGATTCACCGAAGGTGATCAACGCCAACGATGGTGATGAGATCGAAGAAGATCACACGCCATGCGGCCTTATGCTACGTCATGCGTCGTTGTCATGAGATTAAATAAGATCGAATAAGAGCTCACCATTCCGAGCACGTAGAGAGCATCCGCGCACCCCGCCAACCCGCACTGCAGCAAGAACCGGCACGCCATGCGACACTTATCGCTCCCGCCGCCGCCGCCGCCGCCGCCGCCGCCGCTCGAATCCGTGACTGCGGCATTTCTTTCTCCGCCGTAGGCGCCAGAGGAATCGCGCGCGGTGTTCGCCGAGTTTGTGTCCCCGGCGCTAATGGCGGGCGGGCGCGCCCAGAGGCGCGCGGAAGGAACGAGGGCGCGCAGGGGTAGGCGGGAGAGCACCGGGGGTTCGCGGACGAGACGCGCGAAGCGGGGAGACCTGCGGTAGGAATGAATGGGCAAGAGGGGCGAAGAGCCGTTGGGAAAGAAACGAATGAGATTAGAAGGTTATACGCAGGGAAGGCCGTATCGAATAATACGTTAAACTCGAGCCACGGTGACGCACGGAAGCTACTCTAACGCCGCGTACACCGGCTGGGACATCCGGGACAGATTTGTAACAACTGTTGTTACTACCAGTTATGATGGTACAAGAAATCACCTCTCTTGTACTCACGTGAGTGCGAAATTTGCCAAATCCACAGGCGATGCCGCGGCGGAGGCTGCTTTGGAGAGAATGAGGAGAAGGAGCTCATCCTGTTGCCGGAACACGGGAAGGGGGAGGGGGTAGCGGTTAAAACGTCATAGTATAAAGGAAACAGCAATTCGAACGCGGGGATTCGTGCGTTGAAAGCTCTCTGATTGAACGAGCCGTGTTGAAAGGAAACAACAGTTTGAACGAGCCGCGTTGTCGGAAAAGGATCTGAGGAGCTACGAGGGACGAGAGTTTCCGAAAGGGACTCTTCGGATGATGGGGTGAAGTATCTATGTTTTCCGGGATGATGAGACCAGTGCGAGCTAAGTAGGTTCATCTCCAACATCCGCAGCAGTTCTTGGTAGTAAAGACAGGGACGAGAATCAGGGGGGTCACGTACAGGAAGCGACTCTACTGCGCCCGTCGCGACGCCTCCTCCAGCTTCGCGGAGGGAATGATAGACGTTCGTTCGAGGCCGGACTCTCGCGCTGTAATCCATGACGCGTCCGATGGTCACTGAGAGACTGCGACTGCTTTTAACCACGGAGAGTCACTGCGCGACCTCGCCGTCGATGGGTTGATGATGTGCGTGACGGAAAATAAGGTTAAAGGAATCCTATGAGCGGTGAAAGCGTGACAATTTTCGATCGCATGGAGCGGAACGCGAGCCAGCTACAGAGAAACAGCCTGGTCTGGGAGTCTTCTGTCAGGTGTCGGAATAAACCTATCGACTTTGCTGAAGAAATACATAAGAAAATGAAGGTTTCTATTACTCGCTTGAGATTGAGTCTCATGTCTGGTACCTCGAAAGCTAGAATGCGAGGGCTGATATACGAGGTTGCTCTGTCAACATGAATTTCTCTGCTTGGCGTGTTTCGTTGCTGGTCGTGATGGCAGACAGGAAATTCTCGCACAGAGCAGAACCCAACCGCACCACTCCATGACATTGGTTGGACTGTGAAAGATGGAAGGGCAATTTCTTCTGCCGCGATGTGATGACATCTGCAAGAAGGACGCACGCGGCGCCTTGGAAGAACCTGCTTCTTTTCCATGGGGCGAGATGGGTTGCGTTTCTGTAGCCTGAACATCTTTATCCAGTGAATTCACGGGCGGCACCCGTAATATTCCTGACACACTTTCCGAAGGGTTATCTCAGAACTGGAGGACTTCACACTATGGAGATGAGAGGGCGCCGCAAGGAGCTTAATACTAACCTCAGTTCAAGGTTTTGAAACTGGATAGTCGTCTGTCATTTACTTAAAAATCGAAAAGTGCGCAAGCTCTAGTTTTGAGGGAACCACTAGATGTCAAGCCTTCCATGGCAGGGAGACCTCAGAAGACGTCGCCTCCCAAAACCACTACCATCTGGATCGCGTGCTGCTGGGGTGGAAGGCTTTGGCTTGTTCTGGTTTGGTGGTTGGTTGGTTGGAGCCCGGGAAACACGCGAAGATTCGGGAACCAGTTCGCTTCTACAAGCTGGTTACCAAAAGTTTCGCGTCGCGCTTGAAAAAGGCGACCTGAAAGGGGTTCCGCCAACAGAGTTTAGGGCAGGACAACTGTTCTGTTCAATTGTTTCCTCGTCGCCCCAGAGCTGGTAGAATCCATGTTCGCTTTGTTCCTGAAAGTTGTCTGGGACAAACCAAGTGCTTATCTTCTTGTTACTATACCCTTGCAAATGCCAAACCTCATCTCCTACGTCCTTACTAAACGAGAGGTCCTTTGAATCATTATTAACCACTCAAGACTTCTTAGGGCGGCGAGTTGGTAATTGGCTTCGCTTCTCGTTCCTTCTGGATGCGCCACTCCACGTTGCTAATGATGAGTCGTGTGGTTGCGTTATGATTGCAATCGTCTGTGCTCAACGCTCGACTCTTCGTTTCTCGGAATGCAGTTCAGAGGTGTCGTCCGTGGATTCTAGAGGACAGGAAAAACCAAGTTCATACGACCACCCCACGGCAAGAACCACAGTTTCGAATCGAAGGCGAAAGCAGCCAGCCAATCTTAAGCAAGTTTCTGATTTTGACGAAACAGTATAAGAAGCAGCACGTTGGCCGAACAGAAACCACACATATGAAACCACTGGGCAGATGTTGCGGTTGTGAAAAGAAAAAAAAGTTTACATGTTCCATGAGGACGTGGGCCCGATCGACTTTGATCGGATCGGATTGAATCTGGTTGGATTGGTTCGAATTGCCTATGATCGCTTTTCCCGCGCCGCTTGATCAAAGCTGATTTTCCTCGAAAGCTCTACGAGCCTGTATGACAATTACCTGGTTCTTTTCATTTTTGGCGAGACTGGCGAACGCAATGTATCGTGGTAAAATCGCGTTACAGACAATGTCAGTCTAGAACCCTCGCATACTGTTCTCGCCATTCCGTTGACATGAGCGATATATTGTCGAGACCTCTGTGTAACTTTTCGCGAACGTCGTCCAGGCCCCCGATCACATGGAATTAAGTGATCGGGACTGATTGTGTCTGATCGTGATTGATCGGGTTGTTTGAGGCGGTTGATCGAGTTGGAGCGATCAGCTGATTGCGATCAGCTGATTGTCTCTGATTGCCTGAAACCGGCTTCCTGCCTTCCTAGAAGTTATTGATCGTCTTTGATCGAGCCGATCAAAGTTGATTGGGACCACGTCCTAAACAATTCCGATCTGATCGGCTTCCATGCCTTCCCAAGTACACTTTCTTCAAAGGTTCTGTCTCTGTTAGATGTCCCCCGGATATCACAAACGGAAAGGAACAGATGCGTTGGGCACAAGAGATAGCGGCGAAGTTGAACAGACATACTCATTAAAACATACACTGAAAAATCTAGCAGGACCTGAGATGGACAGTCAAACACCACAAAATCCTTGTCTTCCTCGAGAAAAAATGTACAAGTTGAGAGATACTGAAAGTTTTGTTTAACCATACCTAAAGGTAAAAAACGTGTATCAATGCACAACGTTTAACCTCAAGGTGCAGTGCGTATGTCCTCACACGAGTGGAGCTGCAATCCAGACAATTTGGATGTCAGCCAATGAGACCAGCAGACGAAGGTCCTTATGACTCGATCGAAACATTTCTGGTCGTTGAGTGTCTACACGTAGTTTGTTTTGAGGGAATGTACAGAAGGGATCGTTCGTACTGTAACCTTGTTGCAAACCGCAGCCACAGCTGATAGGCCGAATTTTCCGTTACGATTCTCTTTCTGTTCCGGCATTCGGTGATACTGTAACCTTGTTGCAAACCAGGGATAGTTGCCCCTACTCTACCAGGGGTAAGGGCTGCTGTACACGTACCAGGCTCACACAAGGTTCACTGATTTGCCACTGCGTGCCAGAGCAGTCTACTTTCCGCGCCTCCCCGTACCCATCGTTGGGAATGCAGTATTTGAGGCAATCTAACTTACCTAAAACCCCTCTACAAAATTCGCTACCTAAAACCCTTCTACAAAATTCGCTACCTAAAACCCTTCTACAGAATTCGCATTTCGGTACTCGGTCTGTTTACCACAGCATTTGATGCTGTAGGGGCAATCTGTGATCAGGGTTGCATTCACAGTTCCTGACCCGAATTGCCACCGGTCAACTGGGGTTGTAGGTTTGTGCACACCACCAGCCAAGTTGTGGGATTGTTGGAAGACTAGGGCCGAAATACGAGCGAACATTTTCCTCCAACCTGAAACCCTTCTATGGATCCGCACCGCAAGTTGTAGGCTGTTTGGCATCCTTGAATAGCTACGGCTCTGTTCAGAGTGCATGTGTACACAGTAATTCCCTCTAGAGGCTGGTTCTGGTCAAAGTGGGCCCACTATCGTGCTGTACAAGCTGTACAAGAGTACGCTGCTTGTGCAACCGTCCTTACGTTTACGTATTATACTTACATTGACGTTTACCTACAAACAAGCTATACTTAACAAGCACCCCCCCCAGAATAAACACTTCGTACTCTCACCTATGACTGGTCAACATTCACTGGTTATACTTGCAATGCTTTCTGCTTTGTGTTACCTACTTACTTCTCCAACCTCATAACGAACCAGAACAGGTAATGAAGCACAACATTTAAAGCCCGCATACAAAATAGTGACCCCCGTCCCAACTTGAAAGAGGTGTTGCGACAATATTTTTTAAAGCTAAGAGAGAATGAAACAAGTCTGACAAAACACTGCTTGAAACAAAACGTGCGGGCAGAGTGAGCTCATGTGATTGGCTCTCGCCAAAATGGGATGTTGTGGCTCCCGCCAGAATGGACTTTCCCGCTCACATTTCTGCGACCAGCACTTGCACGACCGTTCCCTACGAAACTTCAATATCAAGCTGGTCCTGGGTTCATAACTCCCTGATTTCTACTCCCTTACTCGCTAGTTTTTTTCCACACGCATAGTATAGCGGAAAGCATATGTGCTTGTGTCATAGGCACAGAATTATTGACGACTGCGTTTATTCGCACGAGTGCGTGATTTAGTATTACGTAGCCTAGTAGCACTGTGCTATTTTTCCCGCCAGTAGCACAATCGTCAACCGCCGCGTCGCCGTCAGCCCATGCCGCCTTTCCCTCGCCATTACCTTCGCCCCCCCTTTACCCGTCGCACTTCGCGTACCCTCCCCGTTTCCCCTCCCATCACCCACTTCGTTACATTCTCGCTCGCCCTGAAACGCCCTCTCGTCGCCCTTGCTTTCTCCCCTCCCGTCACCCACCTCGTTGCCTATGCGCTCGCCTCGAAATCGAGGCGCAATCTCGTCGCCTACCACGTCTCCCCTCCTTTACCCGTCGCACTTCGCGTACCCTCCCCGTTTCCCCTCCCATCACCCACTTCGTTACATTCTCGCTCGCCCTGAAACGCCCTCTCGTCGCCCTTGCTTTCTCCCCTCCCGTCACCCACCTCGTCGCCTATGCGCTCGCCTCGAAATCGAGGCGC